ATAACCTTGGGACAAGCCTCGACCGAATTGTATTACTCCGGAAGAAATTGTGTTCGCAGAATGATTGATTTATGTTGACCGGAGGCGGCGTTTTAGGCGTGACGAAATTCGTATTCCATAACATACAATAATGAGGATTCTGTTATCGCTAGCAAAAAAGAGAGAGACAAAGAGAGATAGAAGGATTTGTTGTCGTTAGTGGACAGATTAGAATATTGTTTTTGAGAATATTTTGTAAACGAATGCTAATGGGTAGGGAAGAAAGGAGGGGCGCCATGCGACGTGACCCAACATTGCGAAATTGCGCGTGTGTGTACCACGCCGAAACATTGAAACGTAGTTTCTTCGACCAGAAAGCGTCCGTGGTGGGATTTCCGTACTGCGCAGGCAGCTCGGAGTGACCTTGCTGCCGTTCCGACGTAGTTTTTTTTATCAGCTCTTGAGGCGAACGACAAGCTATTTTTATGAGATTTCGAGGCGCGGTCGGGACCCGGCCGGCGACGCGTATTTGCAAACACACGACGACCGGGTTGACTCACGCGTGGCACAGCCGATAGCGTGAGAATGAACAATTTCGACGCAAACACGAAATCGCCGGCGACAATCGGAGACGCAAATATTACGCAACATAACACCAGCAATATAATACTCGCCTCGTATTTGGCGAATGTAGGTCGCCTTCGAGACTATCTTCGCCTAGAAGACGCATAATCATGGAAGAGAGAAAAAAGATAAGAAGATAAATGAATCTTTGCGCTCGCATTAGAGATCGCAACGGCTTCGACGATGCGCGATCGTCGGGCAACGGCGTATAATAGCGACGTTACAACCGGGTTGCATAATATTACGTTCGTTCCTCTTTCGGTGTATCATGTGCCGCTCTATCGATTTCCTTTTCATATCGCTCGTTAGCCCGGCCCGAACGTATCACAAAGGACGCTCCTTTTTAAGTAGACGCAATTAATGCAATTTTATTCAGAAATATATAAGGGTCGTGCGCGCGCCAGATACTTATCTCTCCCTGCAAGATCGTCTTTTTGTCGGCCGTTAACAACGGCCAGCGGATTAGGCTCGAATGGAAGGGTGAACGGAACTACTTGTATACTTCATAGAAATATGCACAATGTGCTGTGCGATACCTCGTTACATTCAGGTGTCATTCAGAGCGGCGTAATGAAATGCGAAGATAGACGGTTGCCAACTATGTTGCATTAAATAGGAACGGCGTGATGATCTGTGGGAACTTTCTCAACGACATGTCTCTCTCTTTACCGATCTCGGCTAGACTAGAATCTTGTCGGAACGAAAATGGTATACAATTAGCGAACATCGCTAACGAACATTAGTTAGTCTCTCTCATTAGTTAGCGTCTCTCAATTAGTATATCTTCCCGTCGATGTATCTTCTTTTCCGTTCTTGATAGGTCACTGAAACAAATCGACTTGTTAGGAAATCCAAAGTATGTAGTTAGGAAATCGAGAGCATTCTTTTCTAATCTTAAGAAATTATTTTTATTTAATCGTTCTCAAGGTAAAGATTAATTAAAAATGAATGCATTTACAGTTAAGAAATTTCGTGTATAATTTGATGTATATACTTTGAATATTTTAGTTTAAATTAATTATTCACCTCGTAAGTAAATTTAGAACGAGCGGTATGGCCAAGAAACTTGTGGTTTTTGTGTGGTTTTACACTCTGTGAGTGATTCCTAGGAGGTGATATAACTCTGTAAATAATTCAAACAATAAATACCAAGTATATAGAATACGTAAACATTAAACTTCAAGTGTATATGATACATTCTGTATAACCCAGCAAACACAAAATTACATGTAATAACGTATGGTTAATTATAATTTCCCATTCAATAACTATAATACAACACGTATGTTATATTACAGTTATATCGTTGAATGGGAAATTACAAATAAAGAGCCTATTCTAACTCTTAAACACTGTAACTGTAGCGTTATAATGTCGTTGCACAGATTTTGTACATGGTAAAAAAGCTGTGAAATGATACTCTAACGTTACAGTTACAGTCGTTAAAAGTTACAAAATAGGTCCCTAAGATCCTTATTCTATAACTTATAATGAGAGTAACGATATCGTTACATATATCGTTACGCAAATTTTGTACACGGTAAAAGTAGCATAAAAATAACCATATAACGATATCGTTAGAGTCGAGTTACAGAAGAGGGATCTAACAAAAAATACGTTACACGTAATTTTGCTTGCTGGTAAATCTTTTAATGTCTAACCATATATTATATTGTCTAATTTTGTACACTTCTTATATTCCTATAATCTTCTCTTTGAATGCTTTTTGTATTTTATATTTAAGATGTCTAGATTAATGTTCTAGACATACTTTTTTAAAATTCGAATAACTTACCATTAGCAATTAATAATAATAGCTGTTTGCCTTAAAAAGATTTTAGTAAATAAGAAAGGATTTTATCAGATATTTCGACAAATCGTTATAAACGCAGATATTGCAGTTTAGGTTTCCATCGTGTTCCAGAACATTCGAGGTTCAGCTGCAGCAGCTAATCGATAGATGCACGAAGTGAGTTATAGATATAACGTATAGAAAGTGCGCAAATGTTCGCTGTTCTCCGACCCAGCAAAACAAACACATCGATTATACATTTCATCTATGTTTTTTTTTCACGATTGTGTTGTCAGTGAAAAAAGTAGGAATTACACAATAAAGATTAATATAACCACTACTCTTCTCGTTGCAAGTTATAAAAAAAATTCTTCATTATAATTCTTGTGACTGATATTAATAGCTTGATGTAACAGCCTTTGTAGCAGCCTTATGCTATAATAATCGTATATCTCAAGTTTTTTTTTTCAGCAAAATGTACAACTTATAATATGGCAGAATAAATAATAGCTTTGTGTAAAGTTAGACAGTTTTCCTCGCATCCTCATCTATATTAAATCTAATAAGTTGTTTAGACTTCACTGCACAGCCAGGATAATGCGTCTTCGTGCAAGGGTGAACATTTATTACGCAACATGGAACAAAAATTGCCCCACCCTAATCGTACCGCGCAGAACTTCGATCTGTCGAGAGGGAAAGGAAAGAACGCTGCGTCGCAATATTCTCTCCCTTGAAGCTCTCGCTGTAAAGTTTTCTACTCGTCGCGGCACAGCGGTTTACCCTCATCAACTCGCTACATAAATAACGAACTCTTGTCCGCGGCGTCGTGCTTCTCCGAGCGCATGGGTAATCTGCCCGCTGGACTAATTTTAGTTGCTTCGCCGGTACTGCGCGACCTTGAACTCAGCAGTCATGTAGAGGATAATGTTGCAGCCGGGTCGGGACACACCGACGGGCTTGGATCTCAAAATTTTGAATTCCGGTCGCGCGGAGTCGGCCAACCGGTCGAGTGGGCAGCCGGTTTGCAACGATCTGCTCTGTGACACTTGTGGCATGACAATACTGCAAGTAGACATACCTTTTCCACGGGGGCTAGATGGGCGTTTTCGAGCCCCGGGGTGCACGCAGGTGTGTGTGCAGCCTGGAGCGCGAGTTTCTCGAAACGTCGACGAAACGCCCTGTTATCGATCGCATCCGTGACCAAGTCCCAGCCGGCGAGAGTGTGTCGCTGGGTGAAGGTTGATGAACCTTACACGTACGTTGTTTTGCCCGGCCGGTGCAAATTCGACGTACTCACAGAATACATTACAGCGAAATTATGCAATCCTACGAGTTGTCATGCGGGATTACGCATCAGGATTGTTGTGCTGTCGGAGACTTTTATTCGCAAAATATACTATCATGTAATACTATGTTACTTCCAGTCGAATTAAATTAATCGACTTAAAGTCGAATTAAATTAATAATTTAGACTATATATTATTTTAATTGATAAAAATTTTTGTATACACAGAGAGAGAGAGAGAGAGATTTTTATGTATGTGCTACGAATACATTTGTATCCTAACATAATAATAGATACAAACAACAAATATATTCGAGAGACATTCGGTTTCTTTATTATCACTTTGTGATATTATTATGAAATTTATAAAAATAATAATAAAAATATATATTAACGCAATGTATTGTATTCTTATTTATCTCAAAATAGAAAATTAAATATCACAGAGAAAATCGATTGAGAATATAATACCTGTATATGCATATAAGCTCTATAAGGTTCAGCTTTTAGATCTCCGCTTTAAGAGAAGAAACAATTCTAAAAATAAATGTATAAAAATAATTTAGAACTCAGCGTGGGATGTTTAATATTCTAGAAGTATCCAATTTGCACTTCGGCCATATTAGATTTCACCTACCAGGATAATATATTCTATTTTTAAATGGCGAAGAGAATTATATCTTCAAACATGACAAATATATTATTGGAGAAATTAGTAAAATCGTGTTAAAAATTTATATATTTATCAATGTTTTTCTATTTGACTAAATAATAGAAACTGCGTAACTTATATGGCGCAAATCTTCTTTGTCTACAGCTGATTCATATACTACAATCGATATTAAACAGTTATTGAAAATAATTAATTTTTTTAATAGACCTCTTTTTGTTAAAAAAAAAATAATTTATATTATGTTATTAATTTCTTCGTATGCTTATTGATTAATATTAATAGAAAATTATCGTTACAAATACTAAAAATATAAAAAGAAATTAAAATTGATTATATCATATTAGATTGAATGATTATTCAACAATTTTTAATTTTTAGTTAGATTTAATAATAAATAAATGAAAAAATTTGATTGTATTTAGATTATCGTGGAGTGACATCTGCCATCTAGTAAAACTTGAAATTACTTTAAAGAAACATGACCAATAGATGATAATATTCAAAGAAAGTGAGCATGATTTATAATAAAATAATAAATAATTATAATTATTTTTATCAAGTAAAATATTGTAAATTTGGATATTATGGTATAATTTCATTTATGAAAACTGTGTATAATAAATTGTTAAATCTTTATTTTATTTGTATTATATAATAACATTATTCGACTGTGACAATACGGTAATAGGCTTTATATCAGTTAAACAAATAGATTTTTTCCGCTGGTTGTGTTTCTGCAAACAGCAATTGATAAGCAAACGTTCCAAGGCTCTCAAAATAGGACCAACCCAATAAATCTAATTAAATAAACAAAAATTAAACGATAGAAATTTAAGAAAAAATTAAATTAACAATAAAAAAACATTATTGTAACTTAAATTAACTAATGTTTGGACATACATTTCATTGTTATATGATAAATCGTATTATATCCAGTTTTTAATCTCAGAATGTTATTGCCACTGAATTAAAAGAAATCTTTGATACATGTGATGTTTAAATAAACTGATATATCATTAAAGATAATTTTATGTGTGTTACAGTTGAGTGATTTACACGTTAATTGTTATCGCGCAGAGTATATCATGTATGTAATATGTAGTTTGATAGAAATTCTTAATTAATTAAACACTCATTAACGATAATCGTACTTCTATATCTCGTGCACATAATCTGAGTTGATAAAGAATGAAAAATAAAGACACTATTGTAATCAATTTTTAAATGTAATATTTTTATATTATCAATATGAAATTGGAGCTTAACACTCTTACTGTGAAAATAAGTTTTTGTTCTTGTTTTCATCTACTTTATATATCTACTTTATATATAATTTTTATTTTCAACTTACCCAGTGATCCTTCCAATTATCGTTCCAAAATGCAGGTGCAAATGACCGTACCGGATTCATACTACATCCGGTATAAAGACCCTAGAGGGATTGAAAAGAATAAATTCAAATTTATATTTAATTGTAAAAAAATTATTGGTTATTTTTATGTATTTTTTGTTACTTTCTTTTTTTATAAAATTCTTTTTTTATACCTATATGATAAATTTTATTAAAAATTACCAGGCTATACAGGATATACTTCTAAGCAGTAATAAAAATGGAAGACAGAAGAATAATTAATGTTATGAAATACTTAATAATAATTTTAATAATGGAAAAATATAAAAATTATGTTGTTAAAAACAGTTTTACTTCAATTGCAAAGAAATTGTTGCTGAAATAATTTCGGTTTTCCATTTCGGTTTGCAATGAAAGTAAACATGTCGCTCAAAATACACTTTCTTCACAATCATTTGGATTTTTTCCACCAAATTTGGGTGAATTCAGTGATAAATATGGCGAACGCTTTCACCAAAACATTGCGATCATTGAGATATGCTCCAAAGGAAAAGACATCAGACACATGCGTGGTGAATACTGCTGGTCCATTGTTCGTGATACAAAATCGAAATCATACAAATGGTAAATCAAATGACCAAGATTCTTACTATAATAATTATAATTGTATTATTATTATTATAATACATATAAAAATTTGAAAATATATGAAAAAAATGATACTCAGTTGTTTTTAATTTATTATATAATTTAGAACACTTACTTTCAGAATCTCTTTGAATTTTTCATGGGAGGGAATCTGTGTTGTACTGTGTAATATTATCAAATAATCTCCTTGAAGCGCCAGAAGCATATTTTAATTATACGAATCTACTCACGTTCACCCTCTGACAAGAACTCTCTACTCCTTCAGACGACATGAAAGAATAAAGCTCCGACTTGGAGAGTCCAAAGCTACCACCATCACAGCGCATGCGTTGCCGCTGAAATTGCATGCGTGTCGCTGAAATTGCATGCGTTTCCCTCACCATTAAAACTTTCCATAATTCTCGCAGATTGGTCTCAAAGAGATCGTCGCAAAAAGACGCGAATTATGCACGCAAGCGCTCACGGTTGATTCTCGCAGGTCACGCTCGTATCCATCAGTCGTAGAAAATATTTTCACAGTAAATATATATATATATATATATATTCTACATAAAAACGAACTAAAAATTCCGAAATCGATGTCGATGGAAGACTTCATGCTATTTCGAAATCACAATTATAAGGCCGATACTGAGTACGTGGTGAAGGTGGCCAAGACTTTGTTAACACCTATGGGTATTTGGCCGCTCTACAGAGATAACTCCAAGTCGGACAAAATAAAAAATTACCTCCAGACAGGCGTAATATTCGGATTGATGTGTTATCTGCTTATCCCACACGTCATATACACCTTCTTCGATGCAGAAGATCTGACAAAATACATGAAGGTTGTAGCCGCCCAGGTGTTCAGCTTGCTTGCCATTATTAAATTCTGGACAATGATCATTAACAGAGAAGGAATCAGATACTGCCTGCAGCAAATGGAAATGCAGTATAGAGACGTGAAGTGCGAGGAAGATCGGTTGGTGATGATGAAGAGCGCCAAGATTGGCAGGCTCTTCACGATGATGTACTTGGGATTATCATACGGCGGCGCGTTGCCTTATCATATAATTATGCCGCTACTGGAGGATAGAATTGTCAAAGAAGACAACACGACACAAATACCTTTACCCTATCTTAGCGACTACGTCTTTTTTGTAGTGAAAGACTCGCCGTTCTATGAGATTACCTTTGTTTCGCAAATTCTGATCAGCAGCATTATACTCTCCACGAACTGCGGTGTTTACAGCTTGATTGCTACCTGTGTGATGCACAGTTGCTGTTTGTTTGAAGTTGTGCGCAGACAGATGGAAACAGTCCTCGATGATGGAATCAATAATCTTCACAAGCGATTTGGGAGAGTAATCGAACATCATATGCAGGCCATCAAGTGAGAAAGTTTTAATTTACCCTTTATATTAGTATCTCTGTAAATTTCCTCATTATATTCTCGTTAAATCACACGCAATATGCAATTACATATTAAGACAAAGATAGAAAACGCGTTTTCATAATTTATACTAGTTTTTGTTTACTGGATAATAGAATACATTACAGATTCGCAGAGATGATTGAGAAATCATTAAACATTGTTTTTTTATGCGAAATGATTGGTTGCACTATTATTATATGCTTTCTGGAATTCGGCGTTCTTAAGGTATATCTATTAATAGAAATTATTAGAATAAAACACAAGATGAAATTTTTCAAATCTACCTTTACGCAAATTTATTTCAGGAATGGGAAGACGGAAAGATCTTAAATATGGGTACATATTTTGTTTTAATGACGTCAATATTTGTAAATGTTTATATCATATCAGCTATCGGTGATCGCCTTAGAGAAGAGGTACTTTCCACAAATTTATACTAAATAATTTATAAATTATAAAATATCTTGTAATACATATCCATTACAATTACAAACAAACGAAAAATTCGTACAAAACTCGATCAAACTTAAATGATAAAATAATAATAATAAAAATATGACAAACATGATATAATAAATTAGTCGATTGATATTCATTTGTTTCTATTATGAAGAGCGAAAAGGTAGGAGAATCGTCGTATTCTATCAAATGGTATGATTTGCCAACACAAATTGTAAGGGATTTAATTCTGGTGATGCTTAGATCAAATCGCCCGTCAACTTTGACAGCCGCGAAAATATTCGATCTCTCCCTTCAAGGGTTCTGTGAGGTAATTGCTTATAATGTTCATCTAAAAACTGATAGAAATATAACATTTGTTATATACACTACTCGCGTTTTAGGTTTGTAAAACATCAGCGGCGTACTTTAATTTTATACGAGCGATGACTACATAAATTTTCAACTATTATCGCATCGAGTATTTATATACATATAAGAAATACTGTTATCGTCACTTCGTGAGATTACATCTCACTTTTTATATGACATCAGCAAAAAACAAACTTCTCTGTCGAACAATAAATCATATTACTGACAATAATTTAAATAGTACATGTCATGTAATTTCCATATATGTTTTCCACGTTCTTTTCTGTGAAAAAAATTTGTTTGAATTGTCGGCTTTCTGAGTTATACGACTAACTTCCCAATTGCGTAATACATATTCTTTGTTTAGAACTTTTATTGTCGTATATCATTATTTTTCCCTTTCCAAAACTTTTTCCTTTTCTGAAATTTTATAAAACGTAAGTAATAGACTGCGTGTTCTACAATCATCCTAAATTATCAAGTAGAGTTTGCTTGCGAAGAACGTTTCAGTAAATAACTTACCAAGATACAAATGACGTGGAGCTGTTCAAGATACAAATGACGTGTGAAAATGTTCAAGTAGAGAAACTTCAGTTGAATTTAAAACTTATATAAATATATCTACAGATATCAACATTGTCTTATGTATCCCGTAATATCACTTATTAAGGTTATATACATATTGTATACATATTATATACATATTATATAACGTGCACTGCTTACATAATTTTAGAGATGCATACGGAATTGCATTCCTACCACGAAAATATTATTTGATACCATCTGATTCGAATAGTTTCAAGAATTTATTAATTTTTTAAAATAAATTCTTATATTATATAACTAAATTTTTCTATAACAAATGGTAATAAAGTTCTTATTATATATAAAAAACTTGATATTTTTATATTCAACGCGTTAGAGAATGTCCAAATATTGTCAATTTACATCTGATATCATCGCATTGAACTTAAAAACGCACAGCAAATATTTCGAATTAGATTTCACTTTGTAAAGCACAGAAATGTATTCACCATTCTGAATACCGTACGCTTTTGCTTTCAACAGCTCAACGAAGCAAATCTTTGTCTTCGCAACTACCTCTTGACAACGCCTGCGTAGAATCATCATTGAAATAATGTATATTTTTTTCCAATGAAAGTTGTGACGGTTCTTAAAAGAATAGCCCTTACTAACAGTTACTTGGGAGAGGCGAACTTTTTGCACGCAAGCGCCTACGTTAACTTGCGTGCTACCCGATCAACGATCCCTCTTCCACTTTGTTGTTGTCAGTCGAGAATTAAACTTTGCGAAGCGAATAATTGTAGGACAATGATCGCGAGCATATCGCCGGTCGACGATCGCGCGCTATTCCAAAACTTCAATTACAGGTCCGACGCGGAGTATGTGTTAAGAGTCGCCAAATTCCTGTTGACGCCTATTGGCATCTGGCCACTTTACGGGGATGATTCTACAATGTATAAAATTAAATACTATCTCCAGACGAGCATCGTGTTTTGCTTAATGTGTTTTCTGCTCGTCCCACACATCATATATACCTTCTTCGACGCGGAGGACCTGACAAGATACATGAAAGTCATAGCCGCTCAGGTGTTCAGCCTGCTGGGTATCATCAAGTTCTGGACAATGATCATCAACAAAAACGATATCAAATGCTGCCTGAAAGAGATGGAAATTCAATACAGGGATGTGGAGAGCGAAGAGGATCGACTGGTGATGGTAAAAAACGCCAAAGTCGGCAGGCAATTCACGATGATGTATTTGGTATTGTTGTATGGTGGCGCGTTGCCTTACCATATAATCATGCCATTGGTGGCGGACAAAGTCATCAAGGAGGACAATACGACTCATTTACCTTTGCCTTATCTCAGCGACTACATCTTTTTCGTGGTGGAAGACTCGCCATTCTACGAGATTCTCTTCGTCGTTCAGATCGTGTTCAGCACTATGATCCTGTCTACGAACTGCGGTGTTTACAGTTTAATCGCCAGTTGTGTGATGCATGCTTGCTGCTTGTTCGAGATCGCTCGCAGACATATGGAAACATTATTGGTTGATGGAATTGATGATCTTCATGAACGATTCAATTGGATCATCACGTATCACATGCGAGCTCTCAGGTCGGAAAAAGAATTGTCAATTTTTCAACAAATGTATCGCCAATAACATCAATATACGTTTATATAAGTGTAAAAAAGTTTCGATTTTATTTTTACTATAAATATTGTTCTGAAGCATAAATTCTACATATCATAAATAATTTTTATTATATTGCAATGTAACAGGGTTGCCAAAAGTCAGGGAAATCAGGGAAGTCATGGAAAAGTCAGGGAATAAAATGGCTGTAAAGAAGTTTAAAATATGCGTACATCACAGCCACGCAATTTTAGTTACGCGCCCTCATGTGCTCTCACGGCTTGCGCTACCACTTGATAACGCGTGGTGGGGGGAAGAGTAGCCTTTATAATAGTAGATTTTAAACAGGATTTAGTTTTGATAAAAAATAACTGTATATTCATTGATTTATGTTTTTTATAGTCTCCTCTCTTTCTCTTGCTCCTGTTTATTGATAATAAATAGCAGCAAAGAGAAAGAGAGGAAGAGGAAAAGAATCGTGTTTATACATAAAACGAAAAGACAAAAAATACTACTAACTTAACAATTAAATGCAGTGTCAACAACATTAATAGTAATTTACACTGTTATGTTAAATTGCTCTATCAACAAAATATTCAATGATTTTCAAATCAGGATAAAAATACAAAAAAATTTCAAAATATGTATTATTGAAAGTCTAGGAAAATCAAAAAATTTTGTCTGGAAATCAGAAAAATGTCAAGGAATTTTGTGACGAAAAATTTATGGCAACCCTGTATAATTATTCGCGATTATTCCAATTTATAATAGTTACATTTATTTCATAATAATTTTTTGTTTCGTAATAATATCTTACAGGTATGTTGAAATGATCGAAAATTCATTAACTATCGTCTTTCTATCAGAGATGATTCTATGTACTATTATTATATGCTTTCTTGAATATGGAGTTCTTAAGGTATTTAAATATATTCTTGCATAAATAAAGAGATAATTTATTCTTAAAATCAAGTTATATCTTTTTGCACAAATTTCTTTCAGGAATGGGAAGATAGTAAATTTTTTGGTGTGATTATATATTTTATATTAGTTACTTCAATTTTTGTAAATGTTTTTACTTTATCGACTATCGGCGATCGTCTTAAAGAAGAAGTAAATTTAATAACCATTATTAAAAACAAATAATTAATTAATTAAATTAATTTAAATTGAGCTATTAATTAATTTAAGACAAACAGTATATAATTAAATTTAATTAGTTTATTCGAATAAACATTGAGCTCCAGATTTATATTCAACTTTTTTCTTAAAGAGTGGAAAGATTGGAGATGTGTCATATTCCATTGATTGGTACATGATACCAACGAAGAACGTGAATGGCTTAATTATGGTGATGATCAGATCAAACCGGCCATCAACTTTGACAGCTGCTAAAATGTTCGATATCTCTCTTCAAAGCTTTTGCGACGTAAGTATAATTTCTTCTGTTATAATTTGAAAATTAAATATACTGTCCGATTAATATTCGCAAATATTCATAGGTATGCAAGACATCAATGGCGTATCTGAATTTTATACGAATGCTTACGAAGTAAAACAATTATTTGTTTTCCAAATGGTTATTACAAGTGCCATATTCACTGAAATATTAATTTCTTGTCTTGCTCAAAATATATTAACTATTTACTTATACTAAATATAAAATCATAAATATAAAATATAATATTTAACCCTTTTTGTTTGCATTTATCTTTTAGCGATATTCATTAAGATCACATTTATGAATAAAACGATGCGCGATAAGTTAATTGCGTTACTAATTTACTAACAATTAAAATAACATTAACATCATTTCTGAGTCAGTCATTACAACAGTATCAATGCTCATCATTTAATATACTTTTACAATTATATTGATATTATAATTATTTATTGTGTAAAGTATTTGATGCTATTATTGGTCAATATTATGATGCAAACACTCGGCCACAATTCTCTCTTTTCGCAGTAAGAAACGCGCTCAAACTACGAACTACGATTTTACGATAGAAACAGTTTTACTTTGAAATTGTATCCCCTTCGTTTTAAAGTTTCTCGATGCATTACAAAGTATCCCCTCGCTTTGTCCTCTACTACGCTTTTTTCTATCACATCAGAAGGTTCTACAAAATATAAGACACAAATGTTCGTATTTTAATCATCGTAATAATTACTTAGCGATAGAAATTTTCTCGTAAAAGTAATTGATAATGAGAAGATAGAACATCGCGTGAAGTAAATAATATTCTTAAAAATATATGCGCTCACATGATTTTTTATACGTAAATAATCATCTGAGATATTTTTATATCCTAATTAAAATTATTATTATTAACAACATACAGTATGTTATTGATTATTTTCTGATTTATTAGTATTTAGGAACATTACGGATATTTGATCACAATTTTGTGAAAAAAAATATTAAACAGAATAAGCATAGTATATAGTTTATTATAATAGTATTTCTAAAAAAAATTAAGATTTTTATTAATATAACGCTTTTTTATTGCGGGTTTTTGATGGAATTGTACATTTAAAGGTTTGCAAAGAACAGTTATTAAAAAAGAAAAAATATCTTAAACTATATTCGTATAAAACAATATTTTATAACAATTTTTTCGCAATAACAACCCCAGATCACTATTTCCAGGTAAATATAGAAGATCAAAGCACATAAGAATTGAGCGAAGCACAAAGTTACGTAAAAAAAACTTTATGTTCAACATGTATAGTTTTTCGAGAAAAATAATCAAAATTACGTATTATCAGTAACTTTATAGTTATCCTTGGACAGAAGTTTCCACTACAGCATGGTTGTGACAAGTTACTCCGTCTCCGCTTTCCCCTTTTCGATTTATTCCAACTGCATATGCTGTTTTCCCTTCGTAAAATTTAACCAGTACATTAGAAAATGCAAATTACGAGTTATCAAAGTTACTTTTATACAGCTTGGACCGGAGGAGAGTTCATCGAACGGGACGCGCATGCTTCGTGATAGAAAAACGCGTAATCCTAATATCATGATCGGGACAGTGAAGATCGAGCCGGCGGTGACGTTATATCGTTGGAGATGGTTCATCGGGAACAAGCAGAGACGCTAAACACGCTCGCTGTCAACGTAAATCAGAACGAATCGCATGTTTCGGACTTTTATTACGCCGTTCAGATAAGCGTTTGTCTACTGAAACCATTCGGTGCTTGGCCGTTGGCCAATGATGAGACGTCGAAGTTCAAGATCGTTTTGCACAGGGCATCGATGGTGATCGCCACGTTCCTCCTGATTTTCATCATCGCGCCGATGATGGTGTACATGATGGAAGAAAAGGACGTCTTCCTGATAATCCATATAATGTGTGAGCTACTCTTCACTCTAATGGCTTTCGCAAAATATGTTTTGCTGCTCTGGCATCAGGATCGGCTCAGGTTCTGCATTGACCACGTAGCCAACGACTGGCGATATGCGATAATTTCCAAGGAACGTGATATCATGTTGGCGAACGCAAGAGTCGGTCGCACCTTCGGCATCACTTCCGTGGTTTTCATGTTTAGCTGCGGCACGCTGTATTACTTACAGCCTATAGTCACGCCGAACTTAGTCAATGAAGACAATGTTACAGTAAAATTGCATCCATCGGCCTGCGAGTTTCTTGTGTTTGATTCTAAGGTAAAACTTTCAGTTTCGACTTGCTGAGTTGGCAGTGTTGATTCAATTAATCCTGATCAGTGTTTTTTCATTTGAAGATTCTTTATACATTTATTATTTTTAGATATTGTCTCTTTTTTTATAAACATTGCATTTATAAATTTCGATTATATATATATATATAATATATATATATCCAGATATTAGATCGGCACATATAAATTAATTTATCGTCAAACAGGTTAGTCCTGTATACGAGATCGTGTACTTCTTACAACTTTTGTCCGGTTTCACTGCCTACAGTGCATTCTGTGGCATTTGCAGCTTGATGGCCAATTTCGTTGCGCATGTATGCGGTCAGTGCGACGTGTTAATGTCGCTTTTAGAGGAGCTCGTAGACGGTGGTAAACACAATAGCGGGTCCATCGACGATAGAATTGCTGTTGTGATAACCCGACATTTGCATCTACTAAGGTAATCCAAATACTTATACACGGAAAAGACGAATTTGCTGTAGTATCTAAAAATTTAACTAGATACAAATCTGAAAATAATTCTGTTGAACTCAATCAAAATATTCATGTAGGATGCTTAAACGAGTTGAAAACTTTTTGCATCAGCTAATAATTCCTTTACTAGTAGGAGAGACAGAAATTGGTTGTCGTACGGGGTTGATTGTATCTAGCTAAATTTTGAGATACTTTAATAAAATCATTATTTTCTGTGTAATATCTTCAATACAATTGCATTTAATAGTAGTTATATATAATATTAAATAAAATAAATAAATTGATAAATAAATTATCCAGAAATTGATATATTAGATAAATTCTATAATAATAAAACTTTTCGAAATTTTATTAGACATAATTTTCTAGATTCGTGTCTGACATAAGGAGCTTATTTACCGAGATATGTCTCGTGGAGTTCATGAATGCTTCATGTAACATATGTCTAATGGGCTATATCATTATAACTGTATGTTAGATTTTGATTCCGATTCTTATGGAGACTTCAAAGTAATTTTAAACAAATGTTAATACCTCGTAATCGCAACGATTGTTAATCTCTTCCCAAATTTCAGGATATGAACAATAATGAATCGTTCGTGCAGATTTTTATGTATTTCTTCGGACTCGTGTCGGTCATTTTCAATGTGTTCATGTTTTGCTACATTGGAGATTTGCTCAAAGAGCGTTGCCAGCAGGTAGGAGCTATTTGTTACACGATCGAGTGGTATCGAATGCCATCCAAGAAGACGATTGATTTGTTAATGCCGATCGCAATGTCTCGATACCCCGCGACTCTCACAGCTGGAAAGATGTTAACGATGACACTTACCACGTTCTCTGACGTGAGTAATACCGCTTCGTGCTCTAAATGCGAGGTCAATTAAGACTGCTTGACGTACTTGTCGTAACAATGTGTTTCATACATGTTACATCTATTACTTATTTAGAGATTGAATTTAATCGGTGTTAAGTATTGTGATTTTGTCAGTAAGTTTCAATAAATATAAATAAAATATGTATCTGAAATTTTTTTAATCTTTATACTCACAATGAAAATAAAATATTGTGTCGTAGATCTTAAAGACGTCAATGGCTTATTTCAATTTACTCCGTGAATTTTCCTCGCGAGACTGAGAACGTAAGACATGGCGTGATGAGACCATTCCAGAAAGGGGTACCATTCTTAGGATTTAGTATGGCAGAGAATTACATTAATAGTTTGACAAATAATGCACGTGTTAGTATGGCACTCACAATGGAATAAATTATTTCTCTTCAAAATAATATGTTATAAAGTTACTTTAAAAATAAGAAATGCAAAATATAAGTAAGATAACGGAGTATATGCTCACAGTAGTATTGTGTTCTAAAAATCGAAGTATTATTGTATAATGGAAGCGTTGACTTGGCCGACGAAGATCGGATAAAAGTTTTATTTACCATGTTGCTTGACGAAGTCCTTTGCTACTTTAAAAAATAAACGTTCTCGTGTTTCAAGTTACATAGTCAAAGTTTTCACCGCATACGTACTACCAGTACCACATGAACGCATTGAGAAACTATATTGTGTGCAAAATCAATCATTAAACTTCTTTTCGTTCACTGTCTTGCAACCCTTACAAGCAACTCCTTAATTTTTAAAACACGCAGGCGCAAGTCGTCCGAGAGTTTACATCATACCTGATATGCACAAAGTTGTGATCAGTAACATTAAATCCTACGTAAACCTGAACCTGAACATATGTATCTCAATTTTTAACGCCAACAATTAATTTAAAACATTTCGATTTTCTACATTCATTTCCTTCGTCGCGATTGTAGAATTTTCAGTCGTTTTGATGCCATCAAAACTATTTTTAATCAGAAAAGTTATATCGTGCATAATACCGCCAGGATGATCCCCAATGAATATCAGGAGACAGACGTAAAATACGTTTTCGAACAAAGTCACGTTGTACTTCGCATGCTCGGAATTTGGCCGTCGATTGACAAACAGCCAAACATGATCGAGAAGATCATAAATATTTTTCTCGTAATTGTCTGTTATCTGCTTCTCCATTGCGACACGATACCGGGTATTCTTTATTACGCAGTTGTCGACAATGAGCCGAGTGAGAAAGTAAAAATGATGCCACCGATTCTGTACGCAGTCATGGCGATCGCCAAATACAGTACTTTACTTATCCATGAATACGATATTAGAAGTTGTTTGCGGCACATTAAGGAAGACTGGGGAACAGTAGTCATCGATGATGCGCGAGAAGTGATGTTGAGCAAAGCCAGTAATGGAAGACGATTGTTCATCTTGTGCTGCACGTTTATGTATGGCAGTGGATTGTCTTACCATACGATAGTGCCGCTGTCGAGAGGAAGTATTGTTATCGATGAGAATACCACGATTAGATCCTTCTCTTGCCCTGGTTATTATGTTTTCTTCGATCCGCAAAACAGTCCTGCCTACGAGATCGTGTTTCTTCAGCAACTTCTTTGCGGTTTTGTCATGTACACGATCACGGTGGCGATTTGCGGTCTCGCCGCTGTTTTCGTGATGCATGTGTGCGCGCAGATGGAAATCCTCATGCGACAGATGGAGAATCTCGTCAATGAGAGCGAGTTTGGACAGTGTAACATCGGCGCAAAGCTAGCAGTTATAGTTGAACATCAAATAAGAATACAAAAGTAAGTACTTTGTTTACAATTTTTCTGAGTACTTTAAATAATTCTTTGTCGGTATAAATCGGACTTAGAATAAATATGTTCAAAGATATAGGCCAGTATTTATATCCA